GACTCTGGGTGGTATACAATAAACAGTCAGTCAAAACAATTAAAACAACAGTTAAAAACAGACACAATTACAAATAAAAATAAAACTGCGGGAGAATGGACCAGCATCCTACATACAGTGTAACTATCTCACGGGCTCCCCATTTCTCTGAGATCCCCAAGTCTGCTGAAAGAAAACCAGGTTTTTAGGGCTTTCTTAAATTCCAGTAGGGTCAGGGCTAATCTCACCTCAGGGGGAATGTTTCTAAGGGTGGGTACCACGGCAGAAAAGGCCTACCTCCTAGGTCCTGTCAGATGAAACTCTTTAGCAGACAGGACACAAACATGCCCCTCTTGCTGGACCTGATGGGATAGGTAAATGTGACTGGGGAGTGGCAATCCCTCAAATACCTTGGCCCCATGCCATGTAGGGCTTTAAAGGTCAAAACCAGCACCTTGAATTGAATCCAGAAGCAAACCGGCAAACAATGCAGCTCAAAGAGCAGATGTGTAACATGTACTGTTCTAGGGGCACACATAACTATCTATGCTGCTACATTTTGTACCAGTTGAAGCTTCCAAATGCTGCTCAAGGGCAGCCCCATGTACAGCGTGTTACAACAGTCCATTTGGGAGGTGACCAGGGCATGAGTAATAGTTGCACCTGTGCCTGGACTGGGAGGCCCTGCTCACTGTCACTCATGCCCTCGTGACCTCCCATCTACACTACTGCAATGCACTCTACATGGGGCTGCCCTTGAAGAGCATTCAGAAGCTTCAACCGGTGCAAAATGAAGCAGCATAGGTAGTAAATGGTGCCGGTTATTGAGTGCATGTAACACCCCTACTCCATGAGCTGAATTGGTTGACGGTGTGCTTCCGGATGCAATTCAAGGTGCTGGTTGTCACTTTTGACTTGGGAGCAGGTTACTTGAGGGACTGTCTCTCCCCAGTTTTTTCCTATCCATCTGATCCGGTCAAGCAGGATGAGTATATTTCAGGTCTGGTTGGCAAAGGAATGCCAGTTGGTGAGGCCTGGAAGATGTGTCTTTTCTGCCATAGCGCCCACCCTATGGAACATTCTCCCTCCAGAGATCAAGATGGCCCTGAGCCTGCTGACTCCTTGTAAGCCCTTAAAGACCTGTTTCTATGCCTGGGCCTGGCGCCCTGTGTGTGAGCAGGGACCTGTTTCTTGGTTATATTAGTGACTATGATGTATCATATATTCTTGGCTGCTATGTATTTTAATTTTTGTATTATTGTAATTATTTTTATTTTATTCCTAATTCTGTTCATCACCCAGAGTCACTTGTTGATATAGGTGGCCATACAAATTGAAAAAATAAAATCAAATAAAAACAAAACCTTGAAGGTTGCTAGTTTATGGGCTAATCTTAGTCATGGTTAATGCTAGGAAGAATTCAGTATGTGTGAATATGATCATGGTAATTTGGAACTGAAACTACTATTCAAGGTTAACAAGAATAAGAAAAATGTTTTGCACACTAAGACTTTTTCCATATACATCCTACAAATAACGAGTATAAAATATCCAACATTTTGAAAAGGCAGACAGTTGAAATGATACTGCACATAATATGAATTTTACAAAACATTAGCTGCTGACCATTCTGGATTTAGTCAATTAATTGCAAAAAGGAACTGAAATTTAGATAAAATGAATCCTGCGCTTATTTTAATTAAGGCTTCTCCCTTGTGTATGATATTACAATGAACGACTTTGCAAAATCCAATTAGATATTAATTGCAAGTCTGATAAGAAAAGAAGTAGAAGCACTTTATGACAATATCATCATTAAAGATGCAGAGTTTCCATCTTGAGTACAAAAACATAAGCCACAAAACAGAAAGAAGCTAATGAAGCAAGTAGAAAACCTGAAATGGACATCCAAGAAACTGGGATACCTTACTTTTGTGTTCTTCTCAGCATCTTTCCAAGTCATTGCTAAATGAATTTATCTCAAAACATAGCCAGTACTATTATCCAAATTAAATGTACTTTTTCTATATATGGATGCCTATCACTTGTAACTGGCCTGAAGGTAAACTGCCTAGCTTTACTGTTGGTAGTTATTGTATAACTATACAACTCAAATCCAACAAAGTCCAAGCTAATAAATGTACTCTTTCCATAATGACTATAGCAATCCTCACTGCAATCTCTTAAACTAGTCAAGAAAATAGAAATAAGAATCCTAATTCTGTAGCTATACATGGTATACACTGTCTTTGCAATGGGGAGGGGGGAGAGAATATTGGGATTTTAGGGCAGGAATAGGCAACCTGAAGCTCTCAGACAAAATTCACATAGGTAGAAAAAATACAAAAAGGGGGTAACAGGAAAATCTGAAATCAATAGAGTGAACAAATGAAGGAAAATCCAATGAAAGAAGTCAGTTTAACATTCTGGAAATGATGGGGGTGGGGGGGATAAAGGGGGGGATAAAGAGAGGGAGACTAAAATGGGCAGAAGAAAAGCAAAAAGAGGAAATGCCCTGCAAGCGATCAGTTGAGGTCTCTGGTAAAAAATATATTAGTTTGGCAGTAGCTTGTTGGGTGGGAAAAGAGAAGCACAAGGGCAAGAAAATGGGTGGCACTAACAATGTCTTCCATCATCTCCTTGCTATCAATATG